GCGGGGAACGTTGTGGCTTCTCCCCGCCAGCCGACGCTTGCTGCTCCGCGCCCCACCCCCCAACCCTGGATATTTATTTTTATCCCTGTTGCCACAGAGCGACTAGCTCTGTGGCGATTTTTATCCCTGTTGCCACATCCCTGCCTAGCGGCTCCAGGCAGGGATGAGAGGCTCCAGATGCCGGCAACTTTTCCCATTGATTTGATTTTCCACTGCTGGGTTGTTAGCGTTTGTAAAAGACCCCCCAAACCATATATTTTAACATTTGGAGGTGACAGGTTCTCTCCTGTGACAGGTGAGAGGGAAAGGCTGCTCTCCCCTCTCACTGTGTACACAGAGCGGCAGGGTTAGTTTTAATCCTGCCGCTCTCCATCCTGAAGACATCGACGGCCAACGAGGAGAGATACTCGGCGTCTGGGGGAGGATAGAGCCAGCTGCAGTCTTATTACAAGTGATCTTGGCGACATCACCGAGATCACTTGTAAACAAACAAGTGGCTTCCTCACACTACATTTAGTCCTGCTTTGCCAAAGCAGAGCTAAATGTAGAAAACAACTTACCGCCCATCGCCCGGAACTACATGTCCCGGGCGCCGGGAGATTCCACACTGCTGCTGCCCCTCTGCTCCCTGCCGCCCCGAGGCTGGGCCTTCGTGGCCTTGTGGCGAATCCGGCCCTGACTGGCATATGAGATATGAAATAAGAAAAGGATAAGTGCCAAAACTCTAGCCTGGAATAATGAAAGAGGATATGGTTCTACAAGGCGGCCATACACTAAATCTATACAAGAGCAGTCATCATACAATGGGCGCCAAAATCAAGTGTTTTTGCAGCCATACAGGCCAATCAAGAATGTGAATGGATGTCACTATCTCAATATGTGGTGCTCACTATATTAACCCCTTCCCAACATATGACGGGATTATCCCATCACGATTGTTCAGTTCGTTAATGACCGGTGGCGGGATAATCCGTGAAGGGACCAGCACTCACTGCTGTCGATGGGCCCCTCGGGGTCCGAGGCAGACCCTCAATAGCAGATTAGGTGGTCACAATCCTGTGATGACTGCGAGAACTGATCGCTATGATCGAAGAGCCGTGACAGTCACAGAGGCGGCAACAGCTCATTGTGTTTTGTAAACTGCTAGCCGGCTGTGTGTCAGAAAAGTGATACAAAGTATCTCTGAGGAGAATACTGTATTCTCCTTAGAGGTACTAAGTATCAAAGCCCCTGTAAATAAAAAAAATAACCCCTTAGTGCCCCCCTAGTTTTAGAAAATAAAATACAATTTCAAAACAAAAAAATTAAGTTTTTAAAATTAAAAAAAGTTTTTAAAAATGTAATAAGTTAAAAAAAAAATAAGAAAATATAGTGGAAAAGGAAGCTATTAAAGACAGGAGACAAACATACTACATTCTAAAATTGTTCCACTCTAATATTGTATTTCACTTGTATTTTGTGACCTACAACTCCCAAAATGAACTGAAATACCAGACATATGTCCTTAAAGTTCTCCACCAGCATGAGAAGAGATACAAATTTAAAAGGAAGAGCAGCAAAGAGAAAGGAAACAACCATGGATAACAGTAAAGCACACATTACAGTATTGTTTTATGTTAAAAAATCTGAGGGTTCAATGTCACTTTAAGGACCGATCTATCAGTGTACCCCATGACATCAATAGATGTCATGGGATTCGGATACCAGGCTCATGAAATGTGGGCAACTATGATAAATATACCAAAGATATCAGTATAATACTTTTACTGGGTGCTCAGAGACATTATCAGCAAATATGTATGTGTGCCTATACAAGCAAAAAAGCATACCCCATCCTGGATGCTTGTTGTAGTTGCAATATTCACTCCCAGAAGGCAATGGGTAGAAATAGTAGCCACATCCACACTGTTCTATCATTATGTACTGAAAGCATGACTGAACACAAGCCTAAAAAACATAAAGAGAACCAAAAAGTCAACCAAAGAGAACTGAAGGTCTGGTCAGTTAGAGTCATGAGGAAGTGATGCAAATATTTTCAGTTTTAGAAAGCCTGCTTAACCCTTTGCCATTGGCCCTTAAAGTGGGCTGTGATGCCAGAGGCCGGTAGAAGGGGCTCCTGATTATGCAATCGCTGTCACTGGCCGCACAGTAATCATGTATTTGGGAGCAAGTCCTACCGGCTTCCATTTGTCGGTAGTGAACCATGAGCTGTTGGTGACAGCTTGGTCACAGTTCAGGGGGCATCAATTAATCGTATTGGTGCAGCGACGCATGGGGTTTCTCAGCTGCCAATGGGATGTGCGGGATCCCTTGTGTGTTTCTGTACCTTTAAGGAGGTGGGGCGTCCTCCTGACAGGCCTGCACCCAATTTGATATCTTCTGCCCCCATGTGCTCCAAGATGGAGACTCTCATAGTTTAGAGTTAGGACCGCACTATAAGAGGTGCCTTGGCGCGGCAGTGCGGCTTACACATCCTTTGCAGAAGACGTGTATCCAAACCTCTGTCATTGTCCTTAGTGGTGAGACAAGTTGTTTTACATGCTGGTTTGTGAGTGTGCCATGATGCCTTTCTACTGGTCAATTAATCGTACCCGCAGGAAAACACAGTAATGCAAATATGTGGAAGATCGGTGTTAATGTCCACCTCCATGCTGCCACATACAGTATATGTGTGAAGCCTGCGGGAAGTGCTTAAAGCTGAACTCCAGGCAAAACAAGTATTGTCTAAATAAGCCATCTGTATTCTTGCTTGAATCTGGGTGTACTTTGTGCATTTCTTCCAGATCTGTGCAGTGATCCAGTGTGAAACAGCTTCTACACTTTGCTTTGTGTAGGAGCTTCCTGTAATAAAGACCAGTCACTGTTCCTCCCTCTCCTTGTGCAGGGAGACTGGTCTTGTCTCCGCCCCCTCCTGTAGTTTTCTGCAGAAAGCCTGTAGTAGGTGGGGCCTGCTGGGTCCCTCCCACAGCTCTTTTCTCTGCACAGGCTATATGCAGACCAGTGATGATGTCACCACTACTTTTAAAAAGTAATATTTGGGTTAGTAACTGCATTTGATGCGTGCACAGTGAATTCATATCCTTTCCAACTATTGGAGACTTTATTTCCATGAAAATGTTTTGTGCATGGAGTTCAGCTTTAACTTTCCTCTTGTTTCTTCTGCCCCTGCTATTCCCTTTTCCTTTTTCCATCCTTCTTTTACCCATTGCCTTTGTCCTTTCCACCCTTCTTACCTTGTTTACTACTCACTCTTTTTTCCCTCCCTGCTTTTTTTCCCCTTTGTTACCCTTCCCTCGTTCCCTATTATTTTTGTCCTTCCCTTTTCCCTTTGTTTCCTTCTCATTACTTCTTTCCTTTCTCTTTGGTCTTTTCTCCAGTCCTCATTCCTTCTTTTCATGCTCTTTGACCTTCCCTTCTTTTTTCCTCCTTCCCTTTTTACCTTCCTGCCTCCCTTTTCCTCTTCTTTTTTATCCCTTCCTTTTGTTCCGGCCTCATTTTTTTCTCTTTGTCCTTCCCTCCTTCCTTACCCTTTCCATTAAAAATCCCTTCCACCATGTCATTGTTTCACCGGTATGGTAGAATACTTACGGTATATAAATGTGCAGAAAGATTGCACTGAAGGTTAGAGCTCACCTGTAATGTGTACGATGAATTGTACAGGAGAGTGAAATCTAATTCGGCCCCATTGTAAGTACAGTTGCTGTATGGCTTCTCCAGACGATTCACTTGATCCTGAAATGAAAGGAAATGCCCTTAAAATCAGAAGTCCAACTGAGAAAAATGAATACACATTGTCTCTTTCATTCCAGTTTCCTAAACCGGAAGTTCTTCTTTGTGAAACATATGGCATGCTGCCCCAAATCATAACTACTTTAAATGATTTAGGTAACAATGACGAAATTTATGATGAAAGAAAAAATACCCATCTCCCGCTGACATAACTCTCGCCGCAAAATGACAGCTCTGACCCAAATGTCAACAAAGGGGTGGAGTGAGTTGTCCCTGCTCTGCTCCCGAATACTATTCAGGGGCTCCTGAATGTCAGAGCTGTCATGTTGCGACGAGAGTTCATTAGGATTGGTCGTGTTGGCGGGCTTCAGGTAATTTTTTCTTTCGGCGAGTCAACGTGATTGACCTTGGGATTACATCGATGGGCATTTTTCTTTTTAATAAAGGACTTGACAAAAACCTGTGTTGTGGTTTTTTTTCTACAAATAAAGGATTTTTTTTACAGCGTGGTGTGTTTAATTACAATTTTACTGTTTATTTGTTGAATGAGTAGGGGTAACAACTACCCCTTGCTTATTCACGAGGGGGGGGTGCTGGATCTGGGTGCCCCCTTTATGAGAGGGAGTACCCAGATTCCTATAAGCCCCCCTGCCCGAAGACCTCCACAGCCACTGGGCCAGGGTTGTAGGGAAGAGGCCCTTGCCTCATCGAGGATGCTAACTCTCCCCCCCCCCCTCCCCTTTTCTGCTCTGCCAGGCTGCTGCTCGGATCAAGGGTCTAGTAAGGGATTTTAGGGGCTTTTTTTTTTTCTGCATTCCCCCCTAATATTCCTAGCAGACCTAAAGGGTCTGGTACAAACTTAAGCATGGGGACCCCCCGTCCCCATGCTTAAGTTTAAAAGTTTTAAAAAACACAGATGTAATGTCACTTTTCTGCAACGAATTTTCGTTGTTAAACATGTAACTCATCTGAAATTAACGGAAATTTGGACAAGTCCGAATTCTGAAACGTATTGGCTTTCGGACCCGAATACCAAACAACAAAATAAGGAAAAATCTGAAACCAAGCGAAACGAACCAAAACAAATTTTTACATGTCTGGTAAGTAATGAGATTGTGGGATCACAAATGATAATATACCAATAAACAGGAAATGTATTGAAGGAGGTTAAAGCTAGTAGGTGTAAAGATATTTGTTGCTTGATTTATTGTTAATAGATTTGAATTTTTACTGATCTAATAATGTTTTCTAAACATTTTGTAATAAATGTATGAAAAAACATCTCACCAATGTTGCAATAGTTTAATTTACAATGGTACTTTAAAAGTACGAACTTTAATATCTTATGTGTACTTTAAAGATCACTTGTGGATGAGCACCTGAACCTAGATGGTAGAGGAACTTGCACAAAAATTGTAAAAAGGTGAGCTTGGGCTTAAGTCCACTTCCATGTACATACTAATAAAATGATTTATTGGGAAGTAGGAGTAAGAGGAAGGCTTTTAAAGAAAGGCTATGGTAGGGGTAGGCAACCTTGGCACTTCAGCTGTGGTAAAACGACACATCTCATGAGGCATTGCAAGGCTCTGATAATCACAGGCATGACTCCTAGAGGTGGCAAAGGCATGATAGTATTTGTAGCTTCACCACATTTGGAGTGCCAAGGTTGCCCACCCCTGGGCTATAGGGAAGTCTAAAACTGGCCACCCACATTACAGTCTGATCGTTATCTCTTCACAATCACCTTTAGATTTGCCAACCACTATGGTTTTCATAGTTGGTAATCACTTACCTGTCTTACACTTATTGAGGTCTCAGTGCCTGGCCATATGTCAAATCCTTGATGCTCCACTAGAGGGGACTGGTTTGGATTGTGAATCATCACTGTGGTTCCGGCTGTCGTTGACAAAATGGGCATATTATCATGCTGATCTACTTTAACGATCAAGCTAATCCCTGAAAGACAAAAAGAGAGAAATAAATAAAACATTAGCAAATATTAGCAAAGTTTTACTTCAAATGATTTACTAAAAGATGAATTTTGAAATGTTCTTTTGTTGTGAATAGATTGCTCCTTTGGTGACATGGGCATTTGGTGACGGCACGATAACCCTCTCTGAATGTGTTAATTCCAGCAAAACATGGTTTGCAAATTAAGAATTTTTTTAAGTAAGTGGATTTTTAAGATGAAGCAATTCATGATTTGAAGTTATCAATTATACTTACCAGTCATTGATTTATGAATAATAGGTTCCCTCATCTTCCTGAAGAAGCGTAGAAGCGAAACACGTTGAAGATTGGAACTACATATATGCATTTATAATAAGTGTACGCATGTCATATGTATGTATATATGATTAGTGTCAACCGTAGATACATATTGTCAGGTCCAAGAGGTACTATATGGCTGTAGGTATATATGTATTGCTTTCTGGAACACACAATGACATTATGGGGGGAATTTATCAAAACTGGAGCAGACAAAACATGGAGCAGCTGTGCATTGCAACCAGAAATTGAAATCAGCTTCTCTGTCTCATTTTCAAATCTTACCTGAGCAAACTGAAGAGAGATGCTGATTGGTTGCCATGGGCAACTGCTCCAGATTCTCTCTGCTCCAGTGTTGATAAATTCCCCCCTATGAGTATGATTTTTATAAGTGTTTATTGAAATTATTTGATAAATCGGATTCTAAGTGAAGCACAATGACTGTGGTCTATACAACTAAAAAGCCCTAATATAACTATATGTTTATTACAGGTATTAATAAAGCACCAACAATTTACGCAGCGCTTTACATAGTTGCACATTCACATCAGTCCCTGCCCTCAAGGAGCTTACAATCTAAAGATCCCTACCTCACGCATACAAGGGTCAATTTAGACAGGAGCCAATTAACCTTCCAGCATAGCGTTTGGGGAGGAAACCCACACAAGCACAGGGAGTACATGCAAACTCCACGCAGATAGTGTCCTGGCTTGGATTCGAATCAGGGACCCCTAGTGCTACAAGATAGAAGTGCTAACCACTAAGCCACTGCACTTTTAGCAAGGGTTTGCAGTAAATATTTCCAACATTAGAACCAAGCCATGGAAAGGCTCCCATGTCTCTAACATGACATGAAAAATCCATGCAGATGGTGACCTAACCAGAATTCAAAGCAAGGACCCCCAGTGCTGCAAGGCAGAAGTGCGAACCACTAAGGCACTATGCATTTAGCAAAAGTTTGCATTACATGCTGCCTTTATTTCAGCTAAGCCATGGAAAGGCTCCCATGTCTCTAACATGACATAGACCTATGCAGGCCACCATAGCTGTATGTGAAATATATCATTTTAATCTGCCTCTGAGAGTCATGTCGGTGCCAGTAGGAGTCTTGTAATGCCTGACGGGAATTGTAGTTGCACCACAGCTGGAGGGCTGGAGTTTGTCTACCCCGGAGCATTTAACCCTTGCAATGTAAGGAGCATTTAAACCTTGCAATGTAGGAGAGCTCCACAGCAAAGGTTTTTTGTCTTGTGCCCAGAGTTGGGCTTTAAGATGATCATGGTAAAATTTCTATGTAATAAATATTTACCATATTTTTTTTCAGGTTTCACTGCAGCCCACAGAGCGCTGCTATTTTCATTTCCATTGATAGTAAAACAGGTGCCGTATGTCGGATGATGGAAATGTGTGTAGTTCCTGTTGGGGAGATAAGGAAATGTAAAAAACAGATATCACATACAACGAAGAATCACACAGAAACAATGTTACTTGTTGTTGTACAGTATTTTGATAACTAGTATTTGGTTAGTCCGTGTAATGATATTATTTATTGTGTCAATTACTTTTTATTATTTCTGAAAAACCTTCATTTATATTTTTATCCTCATTTACATGTAGCCCAAGCTGTCCAGCAAAGGAAACAGTAAAGATGCTTTCACACTTGCCACTTGTGTGAAGGTGCACAAAACTGTGTGATTTTGCACACGATCACGAAACACGTAACATGTGCGTGTCATGTACATTATTCCCAGCTATCTTTGAGGACCACAGAACAAAGTCCCGAATGCCATTCGGGTCTGGGAGCCTCATCTTTAGTAATATATGTATACGGCTCATAGACCTGAATGGAATTTAGGAGCTCCCAAATGCAATTCAGAAATTTTGATCCAGAATTTCGGGTCTGGGAGCCTCAGCTTTAGTATCATATGTATACACTGTATCTATGGCTCCCATGTTGCCGTAACAAAAACTCATGTTCAGACCCATTCGGATGCATTAAACCGTAAAACACATCTGATTGGCCAGAAAAGTCACATGGCCGTTCTAGTTTAGTTTTTGAACGAAATTCGTATGGGATCCAAAATTCGGAAATGGAAATTCGGATTTGGACACATTCGGATGCAATAGGATTCGGAAATTCGGATGTGTTCAAATGTCCGAATTTCTGAAAATGTGTTCGATTTTGATTCGGAGCTAAACGAATCGCACATGCTTAATCTACCCTCCGTGTTGAAGGTAAGATGAGAGAGGGAGGTGTTCTCTAGTGCTCTCCTGGGATGACAACGCTGCTTTTCCACAGGTACAGTAAGGTCAGTGTGTCACCCTACGACTGAAAGTGTGTTACTGGCAAGATCAGCAGGTGAAAAAACGAATGCAGTCATTCATAGGTCATTCGTGGGTTTAGATTTGCTACCATTAAGAAACTTAGAAAACAAACCTGTTACAACTGTGGCCATTGAAGTCACACTTAAGAATAAACTTATCCACGTATTCTTGATCAGCAATTTGTAACACGGACGGAATTTTGTGCATGATATTAATAAAATGGAACTGGTACCACTCGTGCAAAGCATCCACGCCTGACCAGAAGGATCGGTAATAGCAATCGCCACCAGTAGAATCGCACTGTCATGGTAGAAAATGAATCAAATCATTTGCTTTGATATTAGCATCATGTATAATGGCTATATTTGTAAAGCGGTGAATGTGACATTCCCTGCAGGTGAATCATCCCAATGCATGTGTTTTAGCCACCTCAGGACTGAAATGTTTTTCATTTTTCACACATTTGTTACAATCTGAATTTTAGGACAGAAAATCATTTAAAACCCCCAAACAATGATATATTTTCTGAAAGCAGAGGCCCTGCAGAATTAAAAAAAATGATAGCTGCATTTTTTATGTCACAGGAAATTTGCACAATGTTTATCAAATCGATCTTTTTAGGAAAAACAGGGTTATTCACAAAAGGGTGAAGAGTTTGGAGAGGGCAGGAGAAGTGAACAATTTTAGGCCAAAATAGCTCATTTGGAAAGATACTCCAATTCAGCTCACTTTCCAGTTCAGCTATTTTTGCCAAGATTGTTCCCTTCTCCGGCCTTCTCCAAACTTTACACCCTTTTGTGAAGAACCCTGTAAAATTATTTGTATTGCACACAAACACAACATAGGATTTCCACACCCCTGCTGCCCCTCTACTCCCTGCTGCCCAGAGGCCGGGCCTTGGTAGGCCTTGTGGGAAATCCCGCCCTGCCCTTATATAGTCCATTAATGGATTACTGAGATTTTCAAGTTCTTTACCCCACCCCCCTTGTTTTTATATTATTTTATCATACTCAAAATTGTCTATAGGTAATGCTTTAAAATCCTTTACTGCTCATCAGTTTAAAGTTAACAGTCATTTACAGCCCTAGAATCATTGCTCTCACTCCGATGTTCACACTGATACCTAACATGCGTGGCGCAATTGCTGTTTACATACTCTGCACGCCCTATGCGCATGTGCGTATACATGCAGATGCACGGGGCAGTGAGATTCCTTTTAATTTGTTTTTATGTTATCGTTCTTCACTTTTTTTTACTTTTATACTTAACTTTATTGCTATCACAAGGGGGCTAACAAGCAGCAGCCATGATCTTGATATAACCACTTCATGTTTAGGACATAGAGGCGCATCCTATAGTCCTGAAGTGGTTAAATTACAGTGATTGATTCACCCGCAGTGAATGTTTGGTATATGTCACATTCATTGCTTAAATATAAAGTACCCCTAAGAATAATTCATGTAACAAAATATAAAGCTGATTCTTACAAGCTTAAATCCCAGTTTGCTCCTGTTTCCTTTGGACATTTGATTTGGATCATCTTCCAGTTTTATCAGTTTTATTGAACTGTCTAACTGAAATTTTTCATCCAGTTGGCTTGTTGCATTGTCCGTGATGTCTTGCAGATCTACAACATCATTGTTTACCGATAGGGATGCATTATATCCATAAAGAGTTTGTAGAGTTTCCTGGGCCAGCTGATCCAACTGGTTGAGATATTCATTAACCTGGTCAAACCTAAGGATAGACAGACATCCGAGTTCAGTGATAGTCATAAATGATGAAGTAACCATTCCATGAAGCTTCCAGTTGTCCTGTATTTGGAGGGACTGTCTCTCTTTGAGGGCTGGTGCACCCTTAGGCGACTACTGGCCGTGCAGCAATCGTGCACGATTGCGCACAGTTTGCAGCGCGGTCATGGAGTGGCCCAGCACAGACGATCACGTTGTGGGTGCCATTATTTTCTAATGGCACCTCAGTCACGCCGGGCAGATCATGCGGTTTCCCACTACGATTCAGCCCGTGCATCCGAACAGCCACGTGTCGTGTATTGCAAAAAAAAATGTGCATGTACCTTTTTTCTGTGATTGCCGCACAGATGTCAATGAGGCCACGCGGCAACCGCTGTCTGCATTGTGCAGAACCGTGCGATCCCGGGATGTGCAATCCCAGATCGCTCAGGTCTGCACGGGACTTCAGAATCAAATCCTCTTGTCCCTCTTTACTCGTCAGTCCTCCCTCTTTTTGTTCTGATGACTTTTTGCCTGCTATTACTACTAATTAAACTTTACCTATCAAAAGTGTTTTATTGCACCAACCCATTCAATCAATAAATTATTGCATTTTGGGGGGAGGGGGGGGGGGGGGGGCAGG